GTCCCACTGGAAAGTCTTTGAGGGCAATCAAACACATGAAGCTGTCATCTCTTATGATAACAATGCCGCCTTCTGGTACATCTCCTGAAGGACCTGCCTGAGGCTGTTTTACAGTTAACTTACTTTTTGTATAAGTAGAAGACATACACTCTAAAATAATGATTGGCCGGGCATAGTGGCTCACACCTGTAATCCCAGCACTTTGAGAGGCCATGGTGGGTGGATCACCTGAGGTCAGGAGTTCGAGACCAGCCTGGCCAACATAGTGAAACTCCATCTCTACTAAAAAATACAAAAAAAAATTAGCTGGGTGTGTTGGCACACACCTGTAATGCCAGCTACTCGGGAGGCTGAGGCACAAGAATCCCTTGAACCCAGGAGGCGGAGGTTTCAGTGAGACAAGATCGCACCACTGCACTCCAGCCTGGGCTACAGAGTGAGACTACGTCTTTTAAAAAAACAAAAACAAAAACAAAAACAACCAAACAAACAAAATAATAATAAAATAACGATTAAAAAGTATAGTATAGTAAATATGTAAACCAGTAACATAGTTGTTTATTATCATTATCAAATATGGGTTGAGCATCCGAGGTCTGAAAAGTCTAAAATTTGAAAATCTAAACCTTTTTGAGCACTAATATGATGCTCCAAGGAAATGCTCGTTGGAGCATTTTGGGTTTCAGGATTTTTGGATTTGGGATACTGAACTTATAAGCATATACAGTGCAAATATTCCAAAATCTGCAAAAATCTGAAACCCAAAACACTCCTTCTCCCAAGCATTTCAGATAAGGGGATACTAAACCTGCATTGTGTACTCCACATAATTGTGTGTGCTATACCTGGATACGACTGGCAACACAGGTTTGTTTACATCAACATCACCACAAACGCATGAGTAATTCATTGGACTATGGATATTATGATGACTATGAAGTCATTAGGTGATATGAATTTTTTAGCCCAATTATAATCTTATTGGGCCACCATCATATATGTAGTCTGTTGTTGACCAAACATTGTTTATGTGACACATGTCAAGATTTCTGGTAGTTAGCTGTTTTTCAGGGAATTATTTGTGAGCCTTAAAATTGGTTTCCCTTATTCCTTGTTATTCAGCTGGTTGTGCTAAGAAATGTTATATTTGTTTGGAGGATTCTTAATAGACAGTTTTGTCCCTTTTTTCTTTGCATATTTTCAACAAATATGAGCATCTCCTATTTTCCAGACCTTGTGTTATGCCTTGAGGATACAACTGTGAACAAAACAAAGTTCCTGTCTTCATAGAGTTTGTATAAGAAAGATAGGCAATAAACAAATATATGTCAAATACTGATGAGTACTGTGATTAAATCAGGGTAAAGGATAAAAAGTGATATACCTAAAATGTGGCTTTATCATGTACACCTTCACAAAAAACCATATCAGCATAGCATGATCTCAAATATGTAAGAAAAAAATACCAGGAATAAAGGCTGTTAAAGAAGTATGCTGAAATATTCATAAGGGTTATTTCTGATAGTGAGATTTAGGGATGATTTTTTAATTATACTTTTATATATTTTTCCAAAGCATTCATTACCTTTATTCTTGGGGGAGAGGCGGTACTAATGAGGTCATGTGTGCGCCTAAAGCCCAGTTCTGCTGGCTCATAGCTCCTGTGTGCACCAAGAGGAAGAAAGTCACCTGCATGGCTTCTCTAAAAGTGTTTCTGGAACTCCCCCCAGCAGGTGTCTTACATGTGATCTGAACAAGTTCAACTCAGTGAGTCCTTCTGCTTTCTGAACAAGCCTCTGCCTCTGCCTCATATCAACCATGATCAGTATCTGAGAAGGTTATTTGTCGTTCATCTAAGATTTGTCTTTCCGCAGTGTTTAGTGCTAAATAGGTCATTTATGAGGAAAGTGTAGAAAAACTCTTTAGTAAGGTACTATATATTCTTCATATAGAAGAGTAATTTTTTAAATTAATTTTGTTCACAATATATGCTTCACAATATTCCAGTCAAATCTGACCTAACTCAGGCTATTGCACACATGTTGTGACTTGTAAAGGCTGTGGGACAGGACAGAGAAAAGGCATGAAGCAAATTTTCAGTTCCACAAGTGAAATGAGCCCAACTCTTTTTCCCTTGTCAGCAGTCAGGGAGAGCATCTTCACCCCACTCAGGCTGTGCCTCAGCTACCTCAGCATCAGAAATAACAGGAGCCGGGCCGGTGGCCTATAATCCCAGCACTTTGGGAGGCTTAGGCCGGCAGATCGCTGGAGGTCAGAAGTTTGAGACCAGCCTGGCCAACGTGGTGAAATCCTGTCTCTACTAAAAATACAAAGAATTAACCAGGTGTGATGGCACACACCTGTATTCCCAGCTATTTGGGAGGCTGAGGCACGAGAATCACTTGAATCTGGGAGGCAGAGGTTGCAGTAAGCCGAGATATAACAGGAAAAGGAGAGAAAGAAGGGAAACCCTGAAACAGTACCTACGATGAGGCTGGGCCTCAGGCTGAGGACTTGGCACATATGTATCAATGAAAAGGCCGTCTTTTATAGCTTTTATAGTCTTTTATAGCTAGCTAGAATTGTAGGATTTCCTATAACCCTGAACTTCCAACATCCTCTTCAGTATCAGAGTTGCTGGTATATCCTTAAAGGCCTGATTTTTCTGTGCTTCTACCCGGTCCTTTTTCCCACTTGGAGTCCCCCTCATCTGCGGCTGTCTTGGTAACGAAATGTTTGGTGACAAAGCAAACAAAAATAGTGTATCTTCTTTGCTCCTCTTATTATGTCCAAGATATACTCATTTTTAGAGATATGGGCACACTTTACACATTCAAATAGGTGGGTAGGCACACTTTTGTTCTAAGCATAGTTTGAGGAGAACTCTTCCTTTTTTTTTTTTTTTTTTTTTTTTTTGAGACAGAGTTTCACTCTGTCGCCCAGGCTGGAGTGCAGTGGCGCAATCTCAGCTCACTGCAGCCCCCACTTTCCAGGTTCAAGTGATTCTCCTGTCTCAGCCTCCCAAGTAGCTGAGATTACAGGTGTGTACCACCACGCCCATCTAATTTTTGTATTTTTAGTAGAGACAGGGTTTCACCGTGTTGGCCAGGCTGGTCTCAAACTCCTGACCTCAGGTGATCTGCCCGCCTCGGCCTCCCAAAGTGCTGGGATTACAGGTGTGAGCCACTGTGCCCGGCCTGAGGAGAACTTTTCTATGCCTCTTTGTCTTGCCTTCTCTTTTGCAGTTCTTTGCTTGCCTTCCTTTCCAACTGTTTGCTTTGTTTCTTTCCATCTTCCTGTATCAGGCGGCAATTCCTATAAACATTATTTGTTGTTATTGGTAGTCCTTACACCTGAATAGGTGAAACCTATCTCAGAGTAGATCATGCATTCCAGCTGAAAATGTTAGTCTACTTGGTAAGTGCAATGTGATGGAAGAAACAACTTCTCAGGCCTGTGAAACATTGATTAAATATACTTTTTTGTTTCTTTGTTTGTTGGAGACAGACATGCTCTGTCACCCAGGCTGGAGTGCAGTGTCACGATCTCGGCTTACTGCAACCTCCGCCTCCTGGGTTCAAGCAATTCTCCTGCCTCAGCCTCCCAAGCAGCTGGTATTACAGGCATGTGCCACCATGCGCAGCTAATTGTTTGTATTTTTAGTAGAGACAGGGTTTCTCCATGTTGGCCAGGCTGGTCTCGAAATCCTGGCCTCAAATGATCTACCCACCTATGTTTCCCAAAGTCCTGGAATTACAGGTATGAGCCACTGCACCTGGCCCATTAAATATACTTTTGTAGTTACTGTTCCTTCTGCCTGGTAGCCTGGTTTCTTTTCCCCATGTTTATCTATTTGGTAAACTCCATTTCTTATTCAAAAGATTTTATTTAAAAGCTAAATGTAGTGGCTTGGCAGTTAGTGTCTCCCACTACACGTTTTTCGTACCTCTCTCATGACCCATGTAAGACTGTTTTATTATTATTTGTTTACATATCTTTTACTAGACTGTGAACTTTTTCAAGGGTAGGAATTGTATCATTTTATTTTCTCAGACTTGGTATATGGTCAACAAATGTTTGTTGACTGTCCGTTCTTCTTTGGATAGGACTTATTCCCTGTTTTCAAGGACCTTACCATCTAATAAGGGTGATCAGTTACAGGTAACCATGGTACAAACTAGAATGCAATTAGTGCCGCAGAGAAGGAAAAAATTACTTCTTGCTGTGGGAAGTAGTGACACCTAAGTTACTCCAGGGTTTGTTGATGAGGTAGCATTTGAAATGGGCCTTGAAGGATAAGTATGAAATGTGGCATTAGTGGCATTATATTAGCTTTTTGTACTTCTTGATGTCTTTATTAGCAGTAATTTAAGTTCATAGGATATTATTTGACATGTGTTCCAAAGCCTTACCTATAAATCATCTAGTTATTACTTTACCTATACTTTACCTATAAATCATTACTTTATTTGCTATTACTTTACCTATAAATCATTCATCAGTTGATTTATACAAAGGAATACATCTTGTGGGGTTATCAGTATACACTCTGTCTTTGTGGGTGTCAGTCATAAATTCAGGAATTAATATTTGAGATTGTATGTTTTCAACTGTCTGAATGTTATTAACCAAAAGAAAACATGAAATTTGATGCCTTGGCTGGATTTGGTGGCTCATGCCTATAATTCCAGCACTCTGGGAGGCTGAGGCAGGAGGATCACTTGAACCCAGGAGTTTGAGATCAGCCTGGGCAACATGGCAAAGCCCCATCCCCACAAAAAATACAAAAATTAGGCACGGTGGCACATACACATAGTCCCAGCTACTCAGGAGGCTGAGGTGGGAGGATCACTTGAGCCTGGGAGATTGAGGCTGCAGTGAGCCATGAGTGTACCACTGCTCTCCAGGCTGGGTGACAGAGTGAGACTCTGTCTCAAAAAAAAAAAAAAAAAAAGGATGTCCTACTGTCCTGTTTCATTTATTTTCTTTATTCATTTTAGCCACAGACCCCTTTGCTTCTGTTTTTGGGAATGAATCATTTGGAGATGGATTCGCCGACTTCAGCACATTGTCAAAGGTAATTTACAGTAATTAATGGGAAGGGAAAACATGCTGTGTTTCCACCAAAAGAGCAATCCTCCTTTGAATTACATAGTCCTTTCACAAAGTTGCAACTTGATTTCAGTAAATCACAGCAAATGTTGATTTCAGATAGAAATGAAAGATAACATTATAGTTAGACATATTTCTTTATATAACTAGACTGTATTGATGGTATAGGTAATTATAATTTTCTATTGGCATGTTTGCTCAGCAACTTCATATTTAGTCTTCTGTCTTTTTAAACATGTTTCTCCCAGTTGAACCACATTTTCCCTCTGTTGACTGTCTGGGTCAATAGGTGTAAAATCTGGGTTTTAATTTCGTCCTCTCTGTGTTGGTTACTTGATTTTATGTTCTGAGGTTGTTAGGGTCAGTATTAAGGTAATTAATACACAAAGTCCAGTACTAAGTGTCCACTACTTATTTTCCACTGTGGCTGTGGTATTGATTCAGGCTAAGAGAAAAGGAGGATTAGATTGTTGGTTCCTTGGTTCTCAACTGAGGGTTATTTTGCCACCAGAGGAACATTTGGCAATGTCTAGAGACCTTTTTGGTTTTCACAGTTGAGTAGGAGATGCTACTCATATCTAGAAGATAGAGATGAGGGATGCTATTTAATACAGTCCACTCTCTAGTCCCCCACAATATGCAGTTATGTCCAGCCCAAAATGTCACTGTTGAGCATTGCCTAAATAAATGTAAAATTGTGAAGTATGTGATTCATTATAGAAAAGTTAATCTTTTGTTACATATTCGAAAGGCAGGGTCTTCAGACACACATTAAGATTTATCATTCCAGCCAGGCGCAGTGGCTCATGCCTGTTATCCCAGCACCTTGAGAGGCCAAGGCAGGTGGGTTGTCTGGGCTCAGGAGTTCAAGACCAGCCTGGGCAACATGGCGAAACCTCGTCTTGACCAAAAAATACAAAAAGTTGGCCAGGCATGGTGGCGCGCACCTGTAGTCCCAGCTGCTCGGAAGGCTGAGGTGGGAGGATCACATGAGCCCAAGAGGCAGAGGTCGCAGTTGAGCCTAGATTGTGCCACTGTACTCCAACCTTAGAGTGAGACCTCGTCTCAAAAAAAAAAAAAAAAAAAAATTATTTCATGGGATCAGTTTGCTTTAAAAAATTGACTTTCAGGCTTACTTTGCAGTAACTCAAGCCTGTAATCCCAGCATCTTAGGAGGCTGAGATGAGAGGATTGCTTGAGCCCAGGAGTTCAAGACCAGACTGGGCAGCATAACAAAACCCCATCTCTACAAAATAAAAAAATAGCTAGGCATGTTGGTACATGCCTGTAGTCCTAGCTGTTCAAGAGGCTAACTGAGGCAGGAGGATCCCTAGAGCCCAGGGGTTCAAGACTGCAGTGAGCTATGATTGTGCCACTGCACTCCAGCTTAGGATACTTAGGAGACTCCTGCCTCTTAAAAAAAAAAAAAAACCATTGACTTTCAGGTTGTCTTTATAGTTTGTCAAGATGTCATTTTCTTTGCATTAGTATTAAATCTCATATTTAAGTTTATTAGGAAGTATGGAATCCATTTTTTTTTCCTTTCATTACCATTTAGATCAGATATTCTTTGTGGAAAGGCATTCAATCCCTTTAAAATGGGCCTCAGGTGGTTTTGCATTGAATATTTCCTGAAGCTTGACAAACTTTTAATCTAGATTGAACTTTTTTTGGTTTGATCTGTTACTCTTAATAAGTAATGATGTTAGAATCACTACTCATATAGAATAACTTTTTTTCAAAAATTTCTCCCATTGGACTCTGAATGCAAAGGTTAAAATGACAGTGGTCTCAGAATTAAAATAAATAAAAATGTATAATACTTAAGTCATTATTCTAAATGCTACATGACTACCACAGTTTGCTTGGTGTAGCCATGTGTAACCATTTCTTTTTAAACAAAGGTCGACAATGAAGATCCTTTTAGTTCAGCCACATCGAGCTCTGTAAGCAACGCAATGATTACAAAAAATGTATTTGAGGAAACATCGGTGAAAAGTGAAGATGACCCCCCAGCGCTGCCACCAAAGGTCGGAACTCCAACAAGACCCTGCCCACCACCACCTGGTATGAGATTTGGTACTTTTCTTCAGTCAACTACATGGCTTTTCTCTTTCTGAGAAGTATTGTGTGGAGCTTACTTATATAAAGGGCTTTAAATGAAACAAGTCAAACATATGTCAGAAGCCTCCTGCTGTCATTCATTCTGACCTAACTGCCAAATTACAGACATGCACCTAAGAGATCAGCATGTGTACATTTCATGAGCTGTCTTTCTGCTAAGACCTGTTTTTCTTTTCTTTTCTTTTTTTTTTTTAACTTAATCATTTCAGAGAGGCAGTAAATGGAAAAGGGAAAGTGTCAAGAAAATCTCTTTGCCTTTTAGAAACTCATTGATTATCCATTTGAATAGCAGTTTCCTGTACTTTGGTGTTTTAATTATAATTTATTTAAGAGAAGATTGTTTCAAAGTCCTTTTCCCGTAACATATAAAGTCTTCCTTAAGTCCTTTAATGTGAGAATATATGGCCTCTTTAGTATCCAGAATTCAGCAATATAGTGATTTGAAACAAAGTATTGGTTTTCTTGAAGGAAAATGGTATTTTAGCTAACTTAAAAGATTCCTTTTTTTTTTTTTTGAGATGGAAACTTGCTCTGTCTCCCAGGCTGGAGTGCAGTGGCACAATCTCAGCTCACTGCAGCCTCAGCCTCCCGGGTTCAAGGGATTCTCCTGCCTCAGCCTCCTGAGTAGCTGGGATTACAGGCATGATCCACCATGCCTACCTAATTTTTATATTTTTAGTAGAGATTGGGTTTCACCATGTTGGCCAGACTGGTCTCTATCTCCTGACCTCAAGTGATCTGCCCACCTCGGCCTCCCAAAGTGCTGGGATTACAGGTGTGAGCCACCGCGCCTGGCCAAGACTCTTTTCTAATAGTGATTTTTCTCTTATTTTTGTTTGTATGATTAGTATGTGTGTGTATGTATATGTTTAGCACTATACAAAGGAAAGTTTGTTTTGTTTTTAGGTCATAATAAGTGGGTAAACGGATAATTCCTTGAGTAGTTGTAGTGCTGTTGGGCTATTATGTGAGAAGACACATTTTAGTACATTTTTTAAAAAATCATACCTCATTCCTTGGGAAATTTTCAGTCTCAGTAGTTACAGATTAATACTGCCTTTTCATCATAACCTTTCCATGGTCTTGAGCAGGTAAGTTTTTTTTCTTTGACTGAAAGGATTGCATGTACAATTGTTAATACCTGATATTCGGTTGAAAAATCAGGTAAATGAGTTAAGTGATTCCTTCTAAGGAAAAGTAGCTTATGTCATATATTTCTAGAAGTGAGGTTGCCAGAATATATTTAAAAATAAATAATGGTTAATTTGCACATTTAACTTTTTACACTTGCATGATGCTAATAGTGAGGTTGTTTTTTTAAATCTTAAGTAAAATAATATGCTAGTGCTTTTGTTAAATCTAAGAATCTTCAACCAAGTGATTGTATATCATTGTAAAAAGATTAAGGAAAAGACTGGTTTGTTGGAAAGAGCACTGAACTGGGAGTCTAAAAATCTGGGTTCTGTTTCTGGATGTTCCCTAACTGTGATCTTAAGTGTATAATTTCATATATCTGACCGTTGGCTGTTAAATATTGGCAGCAATTCTAATTTTGCCTACTTTCACAGGATTATTGGAAGGATCCATTGAGATATGAGCATCTTTTCTAAGCAGCTACAGTGATGGAATCTGTTGTGTTATGATTGCTATTACCAGCTTATGCATTTTAGGAAAAAAATATATTTAGAGATATTTTGATCCCTAATTTTATTATCTTTTCTTCAAGAAGTACTAAGTTTAAGTAAGACTTAGAGAACTTGTTTGAAAATGGTAATGAATTAGTGAGTGACTAATAGGACAGAATACTATTGTTGGGTCAGAGATTATTTGATCAGCAACCACAAAGATTTAGGCCCTGGGCTTCAAAACATTTTTTCTTCATTTTGAAATACAGTAAATAACAAAAAATTGGCAGGGTTTTACTACAGTAATTTTAAAATTTTATGCTGCTAGGTATTGTATCTAGAACTAGAGAAAAATCAGAAGAATTTTCCCATTTTTCAGAGGTCATTTGCTCTTACTGCCACTAGTGGATAATTGTTATCAGGCTGAGGTTTATAACAGCAGAGGCAGGCAATTTCTGTCTTTATTCTTTATTATTCTCCTTCTGTTTAATCCATTCGTCTCTCTTTTTGGGAACATGCTGCTTGGTTGTGGCTGGGGGATGGTGGTATTCAATCTCTGGACAAAAATATGATTCCTGGCCCATCCTTGCTTTGCTATTTGTTTCATTAGCTGCACATAGCTGGAATCTATTTGAGAGATCATGTGTGAAGAATTTGAGGACAGATAGTTGGTGTTGCCATTTAAGATAAGAATGTGTTTTAGGTACTCAGTCATCCTCTACCCACGGTACTTTAATGCTATCTGTGTACATGTTCTTCTGTGCTTGTATTTGCTGTATTTACTGGTTGAATTAATTGTGATGATTTTGATCCAGGGAAAAGATCCATCAACAAACTGGATTCTCCTGATCCCTTTAAACTGAATGATCCATTTCAGCCTTTCCCAGGCAATGATAGCCCCAAAGAAAAAGATCCTGAAATGTTTTGTGATCCATTCACTTCTTCTGCTACTACCACTACCAATAGAGAGGCTGATCCAAGCAATTTTGCCAACTTCAGTGCTGTAAGTACTGTGAATGAGCTTTTTGGGGGAAAAATCTTTGAAGAGTTTTCAAAGATTATTTTGGAGTCTGCCAAGTTTGCATCATTTTAACTAAATTTACCAAGATACTAAAAATAATCTTTCGTTCTTCCCCCAAGAAAAACCTCTGTTTGATACTGTTTTGACAGTTCTATGGTTGTTCCATTACACAAATGATTTTAGTAGTCTTAGTTCTTGTCATATATACAAGTTGTTTTGTAAATATTTCTCTTAGTCTTGGTAATATAAGTAAAATCCTAACAGTTGTTATTTTGTGGGTGGTTATGGGTGATGATGACTTAATGAACAATTACAGAGTCATTGGTGTCTGCCCACTAGATGAACAATGCCAGTAATAAGTTTGTGCATTTGCAGCTGTGTATGTGTGGTTGTGTATAAAGTTTTAACGATTTCTGAGACCAGTCAGCAAATATTATATCAGAGGATAGGGCCAGAGATTATTTGAATAGAAAGTAAAACTATTAAACTTATATAGTCACTTTTGAAAAATGTAAATGCCAGTTTTATGAAATAAATAAATAAATGGTTGTCAGAATTTAAACAATCTTTAATTATTTGGAGAGATCTAATTCACTAACTTCTCATGTTTACTCTGCATTCTTTCAGAGATGTCTAAAATAGGAAGATCATTAGAAACAGTGGAAGGGTGCCATGATAACAGCATAAGCAGGGCGTATAAAATCACAGAAATGGGGCCACCAACCATGGAGGTATCAGTCTAGAGGGACATAAAACAATGTCATACATTCCATCATTATTCAGTAAAAACAAGTTATTTTTAAATAAAATTCTTAGACTGGGTAACAAAGTTTCAGTTTCCCAGTTTTTTCAGGCAAAATAACCTTCGTTATCACTGCCTGTTCTATAAAACAGGAATTTTCTTCTGTTTATCATCTTATGCCTTTGAGATGATTTTGGAAACAGGAGATCTAGTGGCCAGGTAATTCTGCCTAATATTTCCCTCCTCAGTGTAGCATTGGGCCATTCAACCAGTTGCTTTATCCCTGCAGCTATTTCTAGTTAGAAAGGAGGTAGTCAAGAATCTGCATGCAGGCTGGGCATGGTGTCTCACGCCTGTAATCCCAGCATTTTAAGAGACCAAAGTACTTTAAGCACCTGTAGTCCCAGCTACTTGGGGGGCTGAGGTGGTGGAGGTTGCAGTGAGCCATGATCATGCCACTGCACTCCAGCCTGGGTGACAGAGCCAGACCCTGTCTCCGAAAAAGAATCTGCATGCAACTAAGATGACTGAGCTCCCAGCTTTTGAATCTGTACTCTAAGTTCTGGTGGCTTCTCTTGAATATGAAGGAGCAAAACAGGAATCAATATTTTGAATATTGTAAAAATGGAGTGTCAGAATTATACAGACTTTTTTTTTTTGAGATGGAGTTTTGCTCTTATTGCCCAGGCTGGAGTGCAGTGGCGTGATCTCAGCTCACCACAACCTCCACCTCCACCTCCCGGGTTCAAGCGATTCTCCCGCCTCAGCCTCCCAAATAGCTGGGATTACAGGCATGTGCCACCACACCTGGCTAATTTTGTATTTTTAGTAGAGACGGGGTTTCTCCATGTTGGTCAGGCTGGTCTTGAACTCCTGACCTCAGGTAGTCCACCCGCCTCAGCCTCTCAAAATGTTGGGGATTACAGGTGTGAGCTGTCGTCGTGCCCAGCCTGACTTTCCTTTTTTTTTTTTTTTTTGTTTCTTTTTTTTTTTTTTTTGAGACAGAGTCTTGCTCTGTCGCCAGACTGGAGTGCGGTGGGGTAATGTCAGCTCACTGCAACCTCTGCCTTCCAGGTTCAAGCGATTCTCCTGCCTCCGCCTCCCAAGTAGCTGGGACTACAGGCATGCACCACCACACCTAGCTAATTTTTGTGTTTTTAGTAGAAACAGGATTTCACCATGTTGGCCAGGATGGTCTCGATCTCTTGACCTCGCAGTGCACCTGCCTTGGTCTCCCGAAGTGCTGGGATTACAGGTGTGAACAACCGTGCCTGGCCCAACTTACCTTTCATTAGATGGAATTTGATTTGTTTCAAGCACAGAATCAAAAATTGGCCTTTTTAGGGGGTTATAATTCTCTTAGTGTAAAATAACCCTGTGGTAGTTTGTGGCATTTAATATCTTAAGTATGGTTTTAGCAAGTCAAAATCTGGTTGGGGCCAGACAGGGTGGCTCATACCTGTAATCCCAGCACTTTGGAAGGCTGAGGCAGGCGGATCACTTGAGGTCAGGAGTTCGAGACAAGCCTGGCCAACATAGTGAAACCCCATCTCTACTAAAAATACAAAATTAGCCAGGCGTGGTGGTGCAGGCCTGTAATCCCAGCTAGGGAGGCTGAGGTGGGAGGATCACTTAAGCCTCAGGCGGACGTTGCAGGATCTGAGATAGTGCCGCTGTCCTCAAGCTGGGTTACAGAGCGGGACTCCTTCTCAAAACAACAACAACAGCAACAAATCTGGTTGGAAGGAGGCTGAACAACAGCTGAGGCATTTTGCTCCAAACTCTCAGTATAGTATAATAAAAAACAGCTTCTTTTTTCATTGTAAAAGATGTGTTAAGTGTTACACATTTCAAAGTTTTGCTTAATTCCCTAGGGAAAACTACCATTTCAAAAGCCTGACAAGGTATTTTATTTCATCCTTTCATGAAGGATTTTCTGTGTGACAAGACTTGAAACCAATTAGAATTTTTTAATTTAGTATTTGCCAAGGTTGCTGTTTGGGGTAGATAAAAATGTTTCCCCAACGTAATAATTATGAGTGTTAAGATTTTATTTAGACTGGTCTAAAAGTTGCCAAAGCCTGGAGAAATCTTCATAATGCCTTTTTTTTTTTTTTTTTTTTTGGCTCACTCCGTCCATCTGGCTGGAGAGTGGTGATATGATCACAGCTCACTGCAGCCTCAACTTCCCAGGCTCAGGTGATCCTCCCAAGTAGCTGGGACTATAGATGTGCATCACCATACCTGGCTAATCTTTTTGTAAAGACGGTTTTGCCATGTTGCCAAGATGAACTTCTTGAACGTCTAAGCTCAAGCAATTGGCCCACCTTGACCTCCCAAAGTACTAGGATTACAGATGTCAGCCACTATGCCTGGCTCAAAATGCTTTTTATAAAATATGATTAGGTTCTTGGGAGGCCAAGGTGGGCAGATCATCTGAGGTCAGGAGTTCGAGATCAGCCTAACCAACATGAAGAAACCGTATCTCTACTAAAAATACAAAATTAGCCGGGCGTGGTGGTACATGCCTGTAATCCCAGCTACTCGGGAAGCTGAGGCAGGAGAATCGCTTGAACCCGGGAGGCGGATGTTGTAGTGATCCAAGATTGTGCCATAGCATCCAGCCTGGGCAACAAAAGCGAAACTCCGTCTCCAAAAAAAAAAAAAAAAAAAAAGATTAGGTTTACATCATATCTTGCTCAGTATACCCAATACTTTAATATGATGTATAGCAAAATCAGCTTTTGTTTGTTTGTTTTGCTTCTTAGCTTTTCTATACATTAAGGGTTAGGAAACTACCAGTGGGATTAAGTTAAAAATGATTTATCATGTGAGGGTCTCAGTAAAGTCGAAGTAGTAAATGTTTTACATTACATTAGATCAAAAAGGCTAGCCCTCTCCTGTTTTTAAATCTTCTAATCTACTATAAGCATTTCTACTTTTTTTAGTGATATATATATAACATTTTATATATATAACATTTTATATATATGTAACATTTTATATATATATATATGTATTTTTTAGATGGAATCTCACTTTGTCACCCAGGCTGGAGTGCAGTGGTGCAGTTGCGGCTCACTGCAAACTCCGCCACCTGGGTTCAAGTGATTCTTGTGCCTCAGCCTCCCAAGTAGCTGGGATTATAGGCATCGCCACCATGCCCGGCTAATTTTTGTATTTTTAATTGAGAGGGCGTTTTGCCATGTTGGCGAAGCTGGTCTCGAACTCCTGACCTCAGGTGATCCACCTGCCTCGGCCTCCAAAGTGCTGGGATTATAGGCATGAGCCATCACATCTAGCCTAGTGATATTTTTAACATTTAGTTTTATATTCTGTCTATAGATTGAATTAATTTTTAAAATTAAACTACGGTTTAATAATATTAAACATGTTTTCAGGAAAAAAAAAAAAAAAAGAATTAACAAGTAACCAGACTATTTCCAGAGTCCTTCAGGTGAAACAAGTTAATGTCCTTTTGTAAAAACTATTTCCTTCTTTTTATTTGCTTTACTCATTTATTTATTCATTTGTTCATCGATCTTTTAAATGGCAGTATCCCTCTGAGGAAGATATGATCGAATGGGCCAAAAGGGAAAGTGAGAGAGAAGAAGAGCAGAGGCTTGCCCGACTAAATCAGCAAGAACAAGAAGACTTAGAACTGGCTATTGCACTCAGCAAATCTGAGATATCAGAAGCATGAAGAATTCTCTTGTTCTTTGGCAACAATATAGTACTCTTCTTCCTGAATACTGAAACTATTTACAATGTGTGTCAAAACTACCTGTGAGCATGGGAATACAAAAGGTTTGAGATTCCTGTAAATGTGACAAAATTTTAGGATTTTTTTTTTTCTTCATTACAGATTCGTCTTTTTTTTTTCTTATAAAAGCCGTAACCCAGTCAGACAAATTCACCTTCACTTAGGCCCCTGGCCCCTGTTCTGGTATACATTTACTGTGAGCTTTTGCCTGCCTGTGCTATTTTACTTGTAAAGCTAGAGCACCCAAGCTTCTGCTTTCTGGAATATAGAGAAATAGTTTCACCCTGCACTACGCTGTTCTGTAGTTATTCTGATGATAGCCAGTGAGGTTCTTAAAGTTTGCAGTATTCTCCCCTGATTGGAATGGTTGAGTGAGGATAAGGGAAAGAATATCTTACTTCTTTTATGATTGGTGCAAATTGGCTAAAGTGCATTTTTAAATTTCCTTATAGTAAAAATACTACTTAATTTGTTTTTTAGAGACAAAGAAAAATATTTTGCACAGATTTACTCCAGTATGGAAAAGGGACACTTTAGGTTGACTATTATAGCCTCAGATTCGATCTTTTCCTAACTAAAAATATTAAAGCCTCATGTGTGAAATAAATTTTTTTAAAGATTTATCTGGATTTAGAGAATTTTAGATCAACAGATACCTCTCGGTGTGTTTGCTAATTAATAAAAATTAGTTTCTTACAAATAAAGTTTGTAAGAAAATGTTCATTTTAAGTGCTAGATAGTAGAGAAAATTTATCACCTAAAATATACCCATCAGTATAAGGCAAGCAAAAGTCTTAACATGGCAGCCATTCTGCCTTTGCCGTGGCCCTGTCCTGTTTAGTTCTTAGTGGGTTTATTTTTGTACTTTTGCAGAAGAAACTTCAGCAAGCTAGAACTGGAAGGTACTTTAATTTTTCATATATACTTTTTTTTTTTTTAAATGAAGGCTCATTTACTTGAAATGTAAAAACTTTCACTGAATACAAATAGGGAAAAAAGTGATATGTTTTATATCATATTGCTTTTTGTCCATCTTTGTGGTTTAGTTTATTTACTCACTTCATGTTTTTCACCTATAAAATTGTCAAGCTAGCAACAAGACTCTTGTTTGTTTAATTGGGAGAGAAGATACCTGCCAGATTATCAAAACTCTTCACGTGTTAAAAGACCACTCCTGTAAAACCGACCTAGTGGACAAGCTGAATTTGAAATAGACTGTGAAGTAAGCTGTAACTTGTCATTTTAATTTTGTTTAACATGGTTACTGACTTAGATGATGTATTGAATACCAAGATAAAGAAAAATGCACCTAAAATCTAATTAGAATTATCTGGGTCACCAAGTCAAGGTGGTATTGATCTGTGTTAATCTGAGTAACTTATTGCCTAGCCTATAAATAAATTTCAAAGTATCCAATTCATTTCTTCTTCAAATGGTGCTTGTTTTCTTTCCATTACACAATTGGACTCCTACAGTTTAAAACAAACTTTAAACCAGTATCTTACACTGCTAATAACTTTTTTCTACCTTTGTAAATAGAAACATTTCTGCATAAAAGTCATACATATGAAGCAAGGGCTGAATCATAATCACAAGGCTTTAATTTTGATAAACGAATCCAGTAACCTAAGGATTTTCTGCAAAATTTGACTGAGAAGTTAAGTATTGGGAGTTGCAATGGTGGTATTTGTTTTCTTCCTCTTAAACTGCTTAGGATAAAGGTAAGTTGACTTGAACAACTTTCTTTTGCACTGGGAAAATGAGCACATGTTGGAAATGCTTCAAAAATTTTTTTAATTAAACACTCGAGGCCGGGCGTGGTGGCTCAAGCCTGTAATCCCAGCACTTTGGGAGGCCGAGACGGGTGGATCACGAGGTCAGGAGATCGAGACCATCCTGGCTAACATGGTGAAACCCCATCTCTACTAAAAAATACAAAAAACTAGCCGGACGAGGTGGCGGGCGCCTGTAGTCCCAGCTACTGGGGAGGCTGAGGCAGGAGAATGGCGTAAACCCGGGAGGCGGAGCTTGCAGTGAGCTGAGATCCAGCCACTGCACCCCAGCGTGAGCTGAGATCCAGCCACTGCACCCCAGCCTGGGCGACAGAGCAAGACTCCGTCAAAAAAAAAAAAAAAAAAAACTCGAAAATAATAAATATCTATAACTTATAAACACCCACTTTCAATGTAATAAATGTATCCTAATCTTATGTATGTTTAACTGGATTACATAGATTTTTATCTTTTGTTAAAATGTGTATACTCCATGGACCAATATAATGTTAAAGTATGTATATATTATATAAATATATATGTATATCTGTATGCTCGCTTGTGTAGGATGAATGTCTTAGAGTCGTTTGTGGTATTTTATGTTGTTGACTCTGGCTCCAGGGCCTGTGCTTGAAAAGGACAGATAAGTATTGCCCAGAGCTAAGTGGCACTACTTACAAAGTTTTAAACATCTTCTACATACCGATTCATGTTTATTTGAGCTCTCTTTATTATAGAATTTTCTCTTAAAGTTTCAGACCTCTAAGTTGTAGCCTGTAATTATGAGAACAGTAAAATTTAAGTAATAATAAAGAATCCTATCCATATATCTATATTGCAGTGGAGTTTTGCATGGTCCTCTGATTATGTCCATGCTATGTCCAAGGAGGAGTAGCTATATACAATCAGCACAGATTAATATGTGTAAAAGGTTTGGGACAGCACCTGGTATAGAATAAATAATAAATGTAAACTATTATCTTTGGTTATCATGTCCTTTTGCCTGCCTGTGCTATTTTACTTGTAAAGCTAGAGCACCCAAGCTTCTGCCTTCTGGAATATAGAAGTCTTTCATGTCTTTTATGAAAGAAATGAAATGTATATGCATAAAGACAGTGCCTAAAACATATGTGGCTTTGTATATATGTGTTGAATAAGAATTTGTAGGCCCGACGCAGTGGCTCGCGCCTGTAATCCCAGCACTTCGGGAGGCTGAAGTGGGCAGATCACCTGAGGTCAGGAGTTTGAGAACAACCTGGCGAACATGGGGAAACTGTCTCTACTAAAAATGCGAAAAAATTAGATGAGCATAGTGGCTCGCACCTATAGTCCTAGCTACTCAGGAGGCTGAGACAGGAGAATTGCTTGAACCCGGGAGGCAGAGGTTGCAGTGAGCAGAGATCACACCACTGGACTCCAGCCTGGGTGACAGAGTGAGACTCCGTCTCAAAAAGAAAAAAGAATTTGTCACTGGGCATAGTGGCTCATGCCTGTAATCCCAGCACTTTGGGAGGCTGAGGTGGGAGGATCACTTGAGCCCAGGAGTTTGAGACCAGCCTGGGGCAACATGGTGAGACCCCATCTCTACAAAAAAAAAAAAAAAGCCAGGTGTGGTGGTGCATGCCTGTAGTCCCAGCTACTAGAGGCTGAGGTGGGAGGATCAATTGAGCCCAGTGAGGCTGCAAGAAGCTGGGGTTGTGCTGCTGTGCTCCAGCCTAGGCAACAGAGCAAGACCCTGTCTCAAAAAAAAAAAAACTAATCCCAGCACTTTGGGAGGACAAGGTGGGTGGATCTCCTGAGGTCAGGAGTTCAAGACCAGCCTGGCCAACACGGTGAAACCCTGTCTCTAATAAAAAAATACAAAAATTAGCCAGGCATGGTGGCGGGTGCCTGTAATCCCAGCTACTTGGGAGGCTGAGGCAGGAGAATCACTTGAGCCTGGGAGGCGGAGGTTGCAGTGAGCCGAGACTGTGCCACTGCACCCCAGCCTGGGCAACAGAGCAAGACTCCATATCAAAAAAAAAAAAAAAAAAAGTGACATGGACTTTTGGAAGGCTCTGTGTTCTAATAAACTCACAGTACTGGGACTGAATCTGTTTCTGCCATTTTTGAGGATGTAATGTAAAGATGATTTTGAGAAAGTTATTTAGCCTCCCTGAACCTCATTTTTCTCATCTAACGTACATCACAGTACTTAACTCACGGGATTGTTTTAAAGGATTTAGCTTTGATAGCTTTTTATTATTTATTTTAAATAAATGTAACCACAATATTACTAATAGCGAAAAGAGCCATTGTCTGTTGAATGTACATTATATATGAAGCACTCTACTAGGCATTTTTTGTGTGTTTTCTCTTTTCTTGTTTAATCTTCACAATACCTCTAAGTAGTAGATACTGTTGTTATCCCGTTTTAGAAATGGAGAAACTGAGGCTCAAAAATGTTAAAATAATGTGCTTCAGATCATCCAACTGATGAGAAGATGAGCCAGGAACTGAACCCTGGTCGGTCTGATCCTAAGCATGATACTCTTTTCAGTTTACCATGCTTTGTTTTATTTTGTGTGGAAGAAAAAAAAATTTTACTTATAGGAAGTGGTAGGAACAGGACATGATAAATAATAATAAATAACATTTACTAAGCTCCAGGCATGATCCTAAATGCTTTACTATTAATTTAATCCTCACAATAGTAACCATGAAAGGTATAGGTACTATTATCTTCGCCATTTTACAGAAGAGGAAACCAAACTAGGCCACAGTTATGCAGCTAGTAAGTGGCAGAGCTGGAATTTGAACCTAGGAGATGGGCTCCAGAGTTTTAACCACTACTCTGTATTCCTGTTAATGATGAGTAGTCAGAGGAGCAGTGTCACAAATGAAATAATCCATGTAATCGCTGTTCTTGAGGATTAATGTAATAAACATATACATGGCATCTTATAAAACATTTTCCCATTCATTCTTGTATTTAACTCTTGTGAGGGTTTAGAACAGTTTCTGACACATGAAAGCACTTAATGATTATTAGTGTTATCATAAGTGATAAGTATATGGGGGGAGTAGCCAGCCTTGCTTTTAGTTTTTCTTTTTTTGTAGAGACAGAGTCTCACTCTGTTGCCCAGGCTGGAGTGCAGTAGCACAGTCATAGCTCATTGTAACCATGAACTCCTGGGCTCAAGAGATCCTCCCGCCTCAGCCTCCCAAGTAGCTAGGACTATAAATGCATGCCACTGGACCTAGTTAGTTAGTTAGTTAGTTAGCAGAGATATAGAGGTCTCACTTTGTTGCCCAGGCTGGTCTTGAACTCAAGTGATCCTCCCTCCTCAACCACCCAAAGTGCTGGGATTATAGGCTCAGCCCAACCTTGTTTTAAATACAACATTTAAAACCAAAAGGCTAGAAAAAATGAAAAGTAATTTATCAGTACTGACAAGGCTCTGGAAAGAGTACATAAAAAGGGAGGCAGAGTAAGTTTTGAAGAGTTCGAAGTAGCTCAGTGTGACTAGCGTGTAGGTTTGTGGGCAAAAGACTGAGGTGTTTGTGTTCATAAGATTTCATTGGTGGTGATTTGGGGAATTGCCTTAGAAGAAAATCAGGTAAGGCAGGGAGAGCAGGTGGAAGATTGTTGCAGTCATGCAGGTGAGATGGTAAGAACTTAAAATGTGGTTGTGGCTGGAGACTAAGAGAAGGGGACCAATTTGAGAAAGATTTAAGAGAATTAACAGGTCTTGAGGTCTAATTAGATGTAGGTGGTAAGGGGAAAGGAGTACTCAAAATTTAGCAAGCAATAGAATCACCTGGAGGACGTGTCAAACTACGGATTGCTGGACTCCAGCCCCAGAGTTTTTGATTCAGTAGGTTGTAGAGTTGGACCCCCGAATTTACATTTCTAACAGGTTCCCAGATGATGGTGATGTTGACTCAGGGGCCTCAGTTTGAGAACCACTAGAGTAGATGATAACTTCTAAGTCTTTTTTGTTTGCCGGTTTTATTAAATCCATTCATTTACTCTGCAGTGCTGTTGCATCTTGTCATTCTACACTTGACCTGTGGATTCTGCTTCTTGGTAACCTCTAATCTTTCTTATGGATAGACAGTTTTTGAAAATAATAATTGCAGGCTGGGCACGGTGGCTCACGACTGTAATCCCAGGACTTTGGGAGGCCAAGGTGGGCAGATCACTTGAGGTCAGGAATTTGAGACCAGCCTGGCCAACATGGTGAAACCCCGGCTCTACTAAAAATACAAAAATTAGCTGGGCATGGTGACGCACGCCTGTAGTCCCAGCTACACTCGTGAGGCTGAGGCAGGAGAATCGCTTGAACCGTGGAGATGGAAGCTGCAGTGAGCCAAGACCATGCCACCGTACTTCAAGCGTGGGTGACAGTGAGACTCTGTCTCTAAAAAAATATATAAAAATAATAATTGCAAGTTAGCACTTATATAGCACTTAGTGCCCCGTACTATTTAAAGTACTTTATATATACTGATTAATTTAACCTCCATAACATGCTTTTAAGTTAGGTACTATTATTCCCAGTTTACAGATGATAAGACTGAGAGGTGCAAAGAGGTTAAATAATTTGTCCAAGACCACTGAGCTAAAAAGCGCCAGAGCTAGGATTCAAACCCAGGTCCAGGCAGTTGGCTGAGC